ACCTCATGCTACTTATGTCAGAATCCCTGGGGAATCTGATTAAAAATGAGGATTCCTGGGCCCCACCTAAAGTACCACTGGAAAGATATTAGAGGCTTAGTGAAAGGAGTGTGAAATATGGTCAAGGACATGCATTTTCCACCCTGGCCAGTACACAGGGTTTGTTTCCAAGAGTGGAGGGATGGACCAGGGTGTTAGGGTAGGTTAGTGGGTTCGGGTCTAGTGCTCTGGAAACACTGGGGCCAGCTGTAGACTTTCTCACCCTCTGCACTACTGACACTTGCGGCTGGATAATCCTGTTGTGGAGTCTGTCCTGTTTAGCAGCATCCCTTGTCACTATTCACTAAATGCCAGTAGCACCTGCCTCCCAAGTTGCAACAACTGAAAATGTCTCCCAACATTGCCAAATGTCCCTTGAGAGACAAAATCACTCCCAGTTGAGAACCACTGAGTTTGGGGGAACAGTTTAAATGCCCTGTTCAGTTGTTTGTTCTCTTGACTTCTGCATTAGGCAGAATTAGGTAAGCAGCACTCAATGGTATAATACATAGTGGCTTAATCAAATAAACTCTTTCCACTTTCACTTCGCAGAAACCCAGAGGCAGGCCTTCCACAGCTTGTACCATCACATTTCTGCAGCATTACCAGGGACCCAGAATCTCTTTTCCTCCTTTGTACACATGGTTGTCTCATGTTCCTAATACGGTTGCCCCAACTCCGACATTGCATCTGCTTTCCAGACAGAAAGAAGGAGAAAGGCATGTGCCAAATGAAATGGCCTCACCTTTTAAAGAGCTTTCCCATAAGCCCTACCCAGCAATTTCTGCTTATACTCATTGACCTGTGCCACATAGGCATCCCTAGCTGCAAAGGAGCCTGAAAAATGTCATCTGTTTGGCTGGGCATGTTGCCATCCTAGACAAGGTGAGGATTCTGTAGTAAGGAAAAAAAGGGAGAATGGCTTGGAGAGGTCTAGTCAGTCCTTGCCACTGCTCTTAACTTTGGTTTCTAGGCACAGTGACAAGCTCACCAGTCTCTCACCAGGAATCTACCAGAAGAAGCCAGACAAATCTCCCAGGTAGCAATGAAATTTGTCTGTGCAAATTTCCCTAGTGAGTTTCCCTAAGAGGGGGCTCCTTATTTCTGCCTGTTGGTAGATTTTTAAAACCAGAATCAAGTTTTTATTCTATATTCCTGGCAGTAGATAAACTAAATCACATATCAAGGAGTTGATAAACAAGATTTTTAGGAGGGATATGTCACTGTTCCCTTCCCACCCCCATCTCCCATTCCCCCTGGAACCCACACTAGGCCAGTGCAGTAGCTGGTCCTCCACATGGCAAGAATTCCATTAAATATGTCCTTTATACACTTGCTACCGAGCCTAAAATGCCACCATCAGGCACTAAATCCTCTGGGTCAGGCATTACTCTCCAAAGGTGCCTCCTAAAATGCTCATCCCCTCTGACAGAGATAGTAGATGATTAAATCTTTACCACCTTAGTGTTGGTCTTAGTTCACTGGCCCTTTTCCCGCTTGAATTCCAAGCAGCTTTGGCCACTGAAACATGTGAGACAGAAGAGGCCAGGGCAGCAGAGAGAGACAGACAGCCTGTCTGTCCCAGAAAGAAGTGGGGCACCCGGCTCGCTCACCTCCTTCACTGTAAAGCCACAGCCACAACTGGGACATTGGCTGGAGATATTAAAAAACACTGCTGGTAAGTTTGGGTCCAGTAGATGGCAACCCCGTGACCTTTGAGCTGACTTCAGCTTCCTTTCTCTCCCCACCCACACTTCTCAGCCTGAAGACTAAAAATTTGGCTTTCCTGTAATTTGCTTTGACACTAACTCAGGAATAACACTGCTGGTGAGAAATAAACACCAAGGACGGAAGATGGGGAAACAAGCATTCCTCAGAAGCCCTCATGTCAAAGCGACAGGTAAGGATGATGCTGTCACATACCATTTCTTGCTCATGGTGCCTGGAGACAGCATTGACCTAGATCAGGGTTACAGGCTGGCAGACCTCTGCAGTGCCACCCTCAGTCTGTGCAAGAGGTCCCTGCTCTGGAACCCCCACATTACAGGGGCTGGCACTGGCCTTTCTCCTGCTATACCCCTTCCACATGAGGCAAGGAGTCCTTAGGACCAAGGATATGTGCCCGCCCAAAGCCCTCTGTCTCCTTTTAGACCATTGCTTCATACACCCAGACACCAGAATCCCCTTCCTGAGTGGCCCTGAGCTGGCTTCCAGTAGCTGTAACCCTCTTTCTGCTTCTTTGAGGTAGACCAGACCACTGATATGTGCACTCCTGGACCCGAGGGTGGCCCAGGGATGGCTGTCTCTACGGGAGGGGTGCATGAAACCCCATCTTGCAGGCTGAACCGAGGGGCAGCTGCCTACTTTAGACAGGTAAATACTCATTCCTCAGTTTGCCATACTCCTCGCCACTCCCAATTGTCCTTTGACCAGTGAGCTTCATGTATTTATAGTGCCTGCCTGGGTCCTGGAGACATTTAAGTGTGAGTCAATGGCTGATCAGCCTGAGGGAGCTATTCCTGTCATGGGTTGGAGGCTGAAACAGAACCTGGTTAGTGGGACATCCATGGCCAAAGCTCTGTATGTTGAACTCTATTCATAACTGTCCCTCCAATTCCCCTAAGTGGAGATGAAATCAGCATTGGCACTTACCCTAGGCTCAGCCTTCTACTGCCTCTAGCAGGGTGATCGGAAAGGAGAAGTAGAACTGCCTGGGGTCATTAGAAAGTAGCAAATTGAAAGGGGAACAGAAGTCCTTGCTGAGAGATGGGAACAGTGCACATGAGCTCTGCATTTCTAGTTCTGACCCTGAATCTCCTTCAGAAGATGCTCAGTCCAGGTCATGTGTCTTCTGTGGGGGTTTCTGGGGGGAAATCACAGTGCTAGAGCAGGGGAGGGGTGAAAAATATCTGATTGGAAGCAAGCCTGCCCCAGCCTCCAAGAGAGGCCAGGTCCTGGCAGAGTTAGCTATAAAGAGAGCAGGGCCTAAAGTTCTGCTTCTTAAGCCTATGAAAGAAAAGCAAACTGTTTTCGATGCATGCAGTATCTGAACTGACCACTGGCTTCTTTGCTCTGCGTATTAACAGGGAAAGAGCTACCTAGAGCATCAGCTACCAAAAATCAGGCCCTGGAGGAAACTGATGGGCGAGATCCTGCTTGCCACAGCCCCTCATCACATACCCGAGTCTGCACTGAGTTCAGAGACTGGGAGAACAACCCCATTTACCAAGTTTTGTTGGGAGACCAAAGGTTAAAATGCCAGGTTCTACACTGGAAGCACTGCTGATACTTGGAGAGGTCTTCTGGGCTGTCTCCAACAGGTGCTGCACCCAGTTCCCCCGCACTGGGCGTCCACGGGCATCAGCTTCAGGGATGAGGGCCCAACGGTGGCAATGCACCCTCAGAGGTCCTTGAGTTGGACTCTTCCCATCGACAGGCCACAAGGAGGTTGTGTGAGGACGCCACTTTTCCAGGCCTCTGCAGAGTTCAGTAATCACACTAGCCCAATACTGGCACAATTCCATGGGGCAGGGGAGTCTTGGGCAGGAGAGGTCCAGAGCTGAGACCTTGCCTCAAACCAACCAGAACTGTTGACCTGCAGGTTGAGGAGGAACAGGCCTGCTCCTAGGGAAACAGACCTGCTCCCCTTTTTTTCCTGTGGTCACCACATCCCCAGATGCCTGTCAGCAGGGAGGCCAGGGGCAGTGGCCTTCCTTTTGAAGAACCAAGGGATGAGACTGAGGGTAGCTGCCGAAGGGGCTGAATCAGACCTCCCGCTGCAATCACTGTCGTTTGCATCCTCAGCTAGCTCAGCAGGGCTGTGTGGGCGCCCCTCCATTGCTCTCCGGGTATGGCTATAGCATGCAGGCCAGCTGGCATTTGGCCTGGGGAATCTCTGAGGAGCAGGTGGACACTGGAGTGGGGGGACCAGAGCACACTGGTTTTAGGCTTGGCCAACATTGTGAATTTGCAACAACCCTGTGTTACCTGAGCCACTGCCGCCCTCAAACTGTGCTCAAAACGGTAGCCTGCGGAGCCTCGTGGAGGGAGACAGGCAAAGGTGTGTGCTCTATGACAGCTCCCGAGGGAGGTGTCATATTCAGCTGGACATGTAGCTCCATTGGCAGGAACGTGCCCACATCTCTAAGCCTCACGTTGCCTCATGTGCCCCATGAGGGCATGGGGAAAGCACTGCCTTATGTGTGAGGGCTGCCCTCGTGTTACTAGAATGCCTGGCACAGGGCCTGGCACGCTGAGTCGCCCAGGGCTGGCTGGATGCATGGAGCTGAGTAAGTGTCGTTGTGGGACTGGGACATGGGAGCAGTGACCTGAATGACCATTGCACTGAATGGCATCTCACACTGGCCCTCCCTGTCCAGAGAATGACCCTCTGACAATCTAGAAAGTACAAGGCAATGAGGAATGGAAAAGAGGTCATGGTGAGGTGATTTGGGAGGAAAATCATGAAGATACCTAGAGGGAGGACTGAAGAGCCCTTGAAAACCCCAGTTTCCCAAGTAGATTAACACACAATGGAAAAGAAGAGATATTAGTGGAGTCTCCAGAGCTTTAAGGGCCCTTAAGGCCAAGGAAAAAAAAGACCCCAGCCTTACATAGTTTAAGGTTTCAAGGGAAACTGCCTTGCCAGAGTTTCTTTTAAGACATTTATTTAGAAAAATAATGATTCCCTGACCTCCACCCTCTGTGCTCTGGGTCTTGGGCATTGTACTTACACAACTCTGGGTCAGGCCTCCCACCCCCATGGGGTCCTGCACACACCCACGGGCTGCCACCTTCCTGGGAGGCCCTCACCCACTTCCTGCGTCAGTCCTGCGTTCGGTCCTGCAAGGCCTCTGTCTCCACATCGCCAGGTGGAGAGGGTTCTGAGGGGTGAGGGCAGCCTGGCCACAGTCTGTGTGCCCTCCCGAGGCCTGTGGAGCAGCCGCGGACTGGGGTGTTGTGGCTCTGCTCTCCCCCATCTCTGGAAAAGCTCAGGGCTGGAAGCGCGGGGAGCTGACGTGGGCCTGGTGGAAGGCGTGGGTGCTGTACACCACCTCGGGGGGCGAGGGCACACTGGTGGTCAGCACTGAGCACAGGGGCTCATGGCTGCTGAGCACCGACGTGAAGTACTTCATCTCCTCTGTGAGCTGCTTGATCTCCTTGCGCAGAGCGGCGTTCTGTTTCTCCAGGTCTTCACTCTCCTGTGAGGGGAGGGACCAGCATTGGAGATTAATGGCAGGGCAAACCCCACGATCTGAGGGGGGGGTGGTAGCAGGAGGAGCCAGATTAGATTTACAGGCCCATCCAAGGAGCAGGGCTCGGTGAATTTGCACATGTATGTGCACACGTGCATAGATGTTTGCAGTGCTGCATGGGTGCATCTGTATAAGCATGTGTCTATACACATGTATATTCATAGATATTAGGTTGAACCACATGAAATTGCTGATATTTGTCTGTTTTGACCTGTCAGAGTGTCAGTTTCATATGGTTCCAACCAGTAGAGGTGTGTGTGTGAATGCACGTGTGAATTTGTGTGTGCATGTATGTACATGGGTCTCTGTGAGTCTGTATATGGGTTGAGAGTGGCAAGTGTATGTCAAAGGAAACTGGCTGGCAGGCCTTAGCCTAAAAAAATGGAAAAGAGTTTATGAAAACATCTTCTACTGATTTCACTCTATTCCACTCTATGTCATTCCATGTGTTTTCCAAGAGGTCCCAGTGTTTGTATTTAGTCTTACAAATGGAATCCATGGTGAATTACCTGTGTCGCCCAGGGTCTAGAACACCTAGGGTCTCAATAAATATTAAATGGTCAATATCCACTACAGTGTTTGATTCCACTGTGTTCCTTCCGCTCACCCAAGAGCCTGTTATACAACATTCTGGGTGTGTCCCAAGCACCTGTGGGTTTTCTTCCAGGAACATCTTTCCCCTGTTGCTTAGGAAAACCATCAGATACATGCTGACCAGGAAAACTCAGGGTAAAGAGTGCTGATTACTGATCATGTCATTCATTAAATAATCAATAATGACACTCTGGAATTAGCATTTACTGGAAAAATAATCCCACCTTCAGAAAACCCAGGGCAATTTAATTTCCAATGTGTTTTTTAAGGTTCACGTGCCTTGACTCAGTGAAACAGATCTTTTCCACTAATCACTGGTGCCCACAGAGGAAGGGAAAATGGCCCCGAAGATGCAAATAAATTACATTTCAGTTCAAAAAGCAACCTAATATTTGGAGTCCGGGCCTTATTGTGCTGTTCTGTGTGATTTAGGTCAGCATTTTTCAAACTTGCCATGTCACTGGAATTAATTCAAGGGCTTGTTAAAAATAGAGTTTCAGGTGCTTCCTGAAATCTAGAGATTTAAACTCAGTGGGTTTGGGATTTAAGGTGAATTCTTGGAATCTGAATTTTTAAAAAAGATATTATTTTTTTTTAGTTTATTGATGAGAGAGAGAAAAACATCGATTTGTTGCTCCACTCATTTATGCAATCATTGGTTGATTCTTATATGTGCTCTGACCAGGGACCAAACCCAAAAACTTGGCTTGGCGTATCTGGAGATTTTGCTCCAACTAACTGAGCTACCTGGCCAGGGCTGGGAATCTGAATTTTAAACAAGTGCTTTAGGTTATTCTGCTGATCAGACAAGTCTGAAAACATGAGTTAAATATGATATTAAATTTGTTTTAATTATTCAAGCACTTATTAAGTACCTGCACATAGTACATATGAACTCAAATATTTGATTGACTGGCTGATGATATCAACTGCTGGACTAGAAATTGACTTGAAATTATGATGGGAAGTGAGCAGATGGCAGATAACTTGACATTGAAAGTTTGCCTTGATCCACTAGGAGCATGAGCTGCAGGCTAACGGAGCGAGCTAGTTACATTGCCAAGTGCCCTAACCCTGAATCCTGGAAAATGGCGGAGGAGTGCGTGGCAGTGCCCTTACCCATGGAGCCAGCTCCCACCCGTTTATAAAGGGCAGATGTGATCATGCACAGCCTCAGCCTGGCATTTCCGGCCTGTGGCTCTGAGCTAGCAAATGTGCCTAGGTAAGTACAAAGGAAACCCCCATCTCTAAAATGGGGTGGGGGTGGGTGGGACACCGAGAGTCAGAGCCACTGGCTGCGTCCTGGGCAAGGTGCGGCTGCATGACCATTTTAGACGTTTCCGGGCACATCCCATAGGGAGGGCATCCCCTCCTTACCGAAAGGTAAGCTACAACAACACTTCGACCGGGAGGGGTAGGGGGTGTTGGTGAGACGGGAACTGGGGGCCTGGAGTGCTGGTCCCTTCCTCTAGGCCTGTTGCTCGCCCCCTCTGAGAGTTTCCACTGGTGACAACATTTACTGTAAATTCTGTGCTCCGAAGAGCCTGGGCAAACCCCAGGCAGAAGGGAGGGGCAGGGTAGGCGGGCACAGGGGCCAACGGCTCTGACCTTCTCCCCGCCTCGAGGCAGGCCGGGCTTTCGGGAAGTGGGGCGGGTTCCTCTGAGCTCTGGCTGAGCGGGCTCGGCTGAGCCCCCCTAGCTTTCTCCTCTCCCGCTGCCCCCACTGGCTTGCAGGCCCCAGAGCTCCAGGAGGGGTTCACAACCGCTGCCGCCTCTAACCAGAAAACCGCCACCTAAGAGCAAACTTGCCTTTACCTTGGGGAGCAAGACGGCTTCCTGCTGGGGCCCCAGAGAAAGCAGCGCTGCCAGCCGGGGCCATGCAGCCAGCCAGGCGCCCTGGTGGGAGGAAGTGGCTGACCCGGGGCTTCCTCCCTCCGCCCCCCCCCCAGTGCTCGGTCCACTCGGCCCTCCCTGGGGCAGTCAGGCCCTGGAAAGGGCTCACCCAGGCGGCTGGCAAACATGCTCAGGGAGCAGCTGTTTACACAGAGCTGCAATGATCGCATTCCCAACAGGGGCTGGGAACCTAGAACTTGGTGAGGGGAAAGAGGAAAGGAATATTTGGGACGAAAATTTCCGCTTCTAACATGCATGTGTTCTGCTGCAGTGGGGGAGGGGCCTGCACTTGTCCTTCCACATAACCTGCTTTCTACTGTTCGGAATTCATTTAGGTCCTTTGGGCTCCTCACAATAACCCTCTGAGATGGATATGGAAGGCCTGCTATTATCATCAGCCCCACTTTACAGGAGAGGTCAACTGAGACCCTGGGGAAAACCTACTCTGCCCCTCCCCCCCGCAAATGACTATGGGCTGGTGGCAGCAGCTGCTGAGAAAAGGGGCTATAGGACTGACCTCAAGACACCTAAGAGGTCCAGGAACTTTGAATGAGTGATTGAACCAAATCCCGATATAACCACGTAGGAGCAGAGCAGGGCTTGGCTCTGGGCTTCCCCCAGCTCAGCCCTGGGCACTGTCTAGCACACCCAACCGATTCTCCTGAGAGAGTGGTAACTTAATTGGCTAAAAGTCTATAGTGTTACTAAGAAGTCCTTGGTTATCCTATAGTCACCCAAAAAAAGACTGGGTCTCAGTTTGGGTGATCTTTAAATACAGCAGAGTACAAGATCCCTGAGTTGGTCATACTTCCAATCACAGAGCTGGGCATCTCCCTCCTGCCCTGAGTTGGGAGGGAATCTCCTGTCCAGCTACTCTGCTAGAGGGCTAACTCACCCCAGGCTAGACTTTCCTCCAGATGCTAAGTGAGGCTCAAAGTACGCGGCAACGGTGGGCTTCATCAGCGGTAACTGGGGTCAGGGGTCCTGGGTCTGATCCTGGTCAGGTGACCCTTTCTGAGCCCATTGCCTCACTTTGAACCAGGAAGACTGGACCAAAACAATGACTCAATCTTGGCCACACATTGGGATCAGGAGGATGCCCTGGGGCACTTGAACAATACTGATGCTTGCTTCTGATTTAATCAGTCTAGGATGCAGCCTGGGCATTGGGTTGTAAAGGGCTCCCCCAGGGATTCTAATGTGCATTGAAAGTCGAAAACCACAGGATTAGAAGATCTCCAAGCCTTCAACTCTTGAATATTTCAGATTCCAAATTGACTACCTGAGTGTATTGGCAAACTAGAGCCTCTAACCCTCACTTGTTGAGAGTGTGTGTGTGTGTGTGTGTGTGTGTGTTGGAGACAGAGGGATGCAATTTGACTTAATAACTAACATTTATTGAATGCTACCATGTGCCAATCACTCTTTTAAGTACCTTACAGTTATTATATTTAAGCTTTGCAACACCTAATGTAGTAAATAATATTATTATGTGCATTTTTGCAGAAGAGGAAAATCTGAGGTACAGAGAAGTTAAGTAATTTGTTCAAGGTCACACAGCTTGTAAGTTGTAGCACCAGTATTTGAATTGAGGCAGTCTGGCTTCAGAGGGTGTCCACCATCCTCTCTTGACTTTGAAGTCTGTTTAAATCTTATGATATTTGATAATTACCTCTTGTGAGGCCTCAGCTCGGTTTGCTTTCCAGTTTAATCTTGCCCTTTTCCCTACCTCAGGCAAATCCAGATGCTAATGCTCACAGTTCACCCTCACCTGTGGGGCTACTTGAGGCCACTCCTATCATGAACCACAAGCAGCTCGGGGGTGGCTGAGGAAGCTTCGTGGGGGTGTGGGAACATTCTGGGGAATTCCCTCCTGGAGGGGCCAAGGAGAGGGTCGCTCAAAGCGCTCTTGAATGAGGGGGACTCCCCAGGCAGGTCCCTAACCCACAGGGAAGCCAGCTGGAACCAAGGCCAAGGACAGGTTCTTGCCCAAGGCCCTGGAGGGGACTCTCCAGGGGTTGTGAGCAGGGCTTGGTTCTCCTTCCCGCAGCTCTGGTTTAGTGCCTTGACCTTCTCCTTGAATATTATAATCACAGTTTCCAGAAAGGTGAAAACAGTCCCTGTGTGTTTCTTCATCAACAGAACATGTAGTCACTTATTGGTAGGGTGACATTTTGGCTCTCAACCCCACTTAAATATGAGAGTAGTGTGTGAAGCTTATATCCCTCACCCCCAGTTATATGTTCTATCTCCATCAGTTACCAGCCCCGCTCCACCAAATGCACACATAGGGCAGAGCCCGCCATCCCTGAAGTCTGCAGACTGAGAGACAGGACACTGCCCAAGCCATGGTGGCATCTATGCCTATGACTCCCACTAGTCTGGGGAAACCGCCCCAGTGCCTGTTCCTTACCCGAGGAGGAAAGGAAAAGCATCGCAAAACCACAGGCCTTTGCACT